TGCAGTTTTTGTTTAATTGATTTTTCTAAATTAAAAATGCCAAAGCGTGAACATTTACGTCATTTAAAACACTGCTGTAACTGGAAGTATATCTCTAAGAGGCAATGATTGCAAAAAAGTCTTTGGTGTCACTTCCATGCATTTATATATACACAAGCACAAATGCATTATTGTCTCGTTAACAAAAGTTCTGGCCTTTCAGCTGCTATCAGATCATACATTCAGACTCTTGCAATTAAACGTTGAAAGCACTGTCCTAGGCAATGATCATTTGCCCAGGGCAATGGCCTCAAAATACATGTGTGCTGAATGCATGATCTGAAACCAGCAGAATGAAGACTAAATGAAGCCTAGGGCAGCTGATAAGCTGAAATTTTTATCATAAAATGAAAAGTACTTTAACAAAACATTTTTTCAAATATATTTTGATTTTTAATTACTAATTATTTATCAAAACATGCATAAATGGTAATAATATGAATAATAATGACACAAAAGAAAGAATTCAAATTTATCTCTTGTGTCAAATCTAAAGGTGGCAATCTACAAGAAATTTTTATTGGTTACACTTAACATGATTCAGACATACTGCTAGCTAAATATTAAATTTCTAGACTACCATATATTCAAAGAATTTTAATATATTGAATTAACCACTAAATAACTTACTTAAACTAAAAATAAACAAATTATGAAAACTTTCCAAATGAGACAAAACTTAAGTATTAATGTATTATTAGTGGCAACCTATTCCTTTTATTTATTAAATTTATCTTTGATGCATACTGAAAAAGTGCATGTACTTGTATGTAAATAATTATAAGCTTGTTTATTTCTTACTATAACTTTCAGCTACATCTCTGGCATTTCGATTTCTATTAAATTACCAAACTTGGTAGAGAATGACTAGAAACTAACTGTATCTCAAATTATGGATGCTTATCAATCAGCCTCATTCTTTTTTTAAAATTTTTTTAGACTTATTAATTTTGTGCTGTAAATAAAAAAAACTTTACACGTATAAATGTATTCCCAAACGAAGCGATACTTTGTATTGTAAAAATTCATAACTCAGGATATTTGTCTTTTGACAAGTATTAAGAAAACTAATAAAATCTATATCTTCGGGTTTTTCATTTAAGATTTTTATGACAGTGTAAATTAATTGGTTCCATTTGTAGATTTCTAGGATGTTACTCACCTTCATTTTTAATATCAATGAAAATAATTGAAAACTGGACTCAAAATCATTAAAAATCTGATACCTTTCTTCAAATTCTTGCTGTGATAAACAGTTAGTTATTTCTAAGCAGTGTCCCCCAGCTCACCTAGCAGGTGAAATCTGCCATATGGCTATGAGGGGGCAGGCCAATCCAATGGAACATAAGAAATATAATAAACATTTGGCGATAGGTTGCATTGCTAATAATTAACACCAGATCATACAGCCACATAAAACAAACATAAGAAACTCAAAAGAAAAACAGGTTATAAAAGAAATAAAATCACAATATGGAAAACAAATACATACATCCCAAACTCTCTTGGTGAAACAGCATATAGAGGTATCGTTTCCTTATATACGTACTTTCCTAAGTTTTAAACCATTATAAATTTTACTCTCAATTATTATTATTCAAATTTCCTTTATATAATCAAAATTCATCTTAAATTTATAAATTCACTTCAATCATATCAGTTTTCAATATGATTTTCTGTTTTGTTATATCTTGATACCAATATTCTTCTTATTCTTATTCACAATTTACATAACATATCTTGCAAATTTCCTAAACAATTTGTAGTTACTAAATAAATCTTCAAATTTTGTAAATTTATATTTTCTTCTCAAACTTCCAGTCAGGCAACAGTCCTTGAGGAAGTGTTTTGAATTGTCGAATTTATTACAAACTTTTACATATATCCTTTTCCTGAAGGTGGGACCTTCTATGCGCAGTGAGAATTTGATTGACATGTACATCTCCTAAAATTCGCATTTTTTTGTTAATTTTTAAACAACTTAGATAATTTTTGTTTCTTTCGGAGAGATCCCATGGATTTTCCCAGTTTTTAATAAGCTTGTCTTCTGTTATAGTACATGTCTTCTTTTTCGAATCTTGTATAGATATCTTTTTGGCCCCAACCCCTAGAGCAGCATATTTTGCTAGTGCAGCTGTTCTCTCAGTCCCGTAATGACCAGTGTGAGCTCTGATCCAATGTAAATTCAAAATATGCTTCTTTTGTAGTTCTAAATAACTATGCTTAATTTCATTTACAATTTTATTCTTTTGGAAAGGGCAGAAGAGCACCATAATTGCAGATAAGGCATCTGAGAATAAATTAATGTAAAACCCCACAAATAATTTCTTGATCCAGCATAAAGCCATTTTAATTGCCAGCAATTCTGCTTAATAAACTGAATTTCTTGGTTTTAGGGGTTTAAATATTGTACAGTCAATTTTAGTACAGTGGGAAAATACAATGAAGGCACAGCCAATGCTCTCCACAAACCCTGATCCATCTGTATAAAGTTCAGTTTCTCCAGTTGAAATTCTAGTCTTTATTGTAGGATATCCCGTACAATTTGCTAGGATATCTCGAATTTAGGTCATGCTCTAAAAAAAATCACTGGTAATTGCTTTATCATTGTATACTATTTTCTGTTTTATATTAAATCTCGGATAAAATTTGTCGTAAGTAAATCTAAATTGTAGGGCAAGAGGCGATACACTAACTAATAGGCACGCAACCTTCGTTGGAGCTGTTCTAAATGATCTTGTAATTGCAAATGTCCAGGCCCTCTGCCGTGAGTCCAATTTCTGCCTTGTCTTGACTAGCTCCTCTGCCCTATCACCCCATGTGCCAGTACCATAAAGAATTTTCAGTATAACAATATTTTTATAAATATTACTCAGGTTAGAGTAATAAACAGTGTCATAATAGTGCTAATTAATTCACAGGAAATAAATTTATGGGCCACATAAGATTGCTTCAAGGGCTACCGGTCTGAGATGACTGGCCTGGGGTAACAATACAGTGGATATCTGTTCTTTGTGTCGAGGCTGAAAAATCATTCATGAGATCAGTAATAAATACTAAATAGGTAAATACCCTGCCCTTGTATACTATATTAACAAGTGCCCATATCTCAGTGTGTGGGGGAATCTTTTTAGTATTTTATTGCAGATAGCATTATTTTGAATTTTATGCAATTCATGGGAATACATTTCTTTGTTAAAAAATCTGTAGGTGGTTGGAAATATTGTCATGAGAACTAACAAATAGTGTGACAGAATTAAAAATTGAAGCTTGAAAATTCATGAGGGCAAAAGAGATCAAAATTATTGTGTTTAAATTTTACAGATATGTTGATAGTGCATGGATCAATCAATAACTAGAGATATTGAAAATAAACGGTTATAGAAGCTGTAGTTCTGTATAACTTGCTTATGCCTAGAAACAATATGGCAGATATCATTGAAAATGTAAAGTGATTTTTTTTATAAAATTTTTTTAATTTTTTTATTTTATAACTTATTTATATTTTAAATTTTTTTATAAATTTTATAAAATATTTGTTTCAGCTATATTATCCATTGGTACTGCTTTCATGTTACAAATGAATGATTTGGAAGTTCTGCGGTGGAGAAAAAAATTATTTAGAGCTGCAAAATCTGATATAAAGTGCTATAAATGCTCTCTCCTGAGGGGAGAGGAAAGTGCATGCAAAATAAATGTTAAAAATTTAAGCTGTGTAACGATTTAGAAGTTAGAAAAGTTTTTAATTCCAACCTTACCCAAAATGAAGGTTTTTACATGTAAGGAGGTCTAATTCGTAAATGAAGAAACTGTTTTCAATAATATGGGTAAATGAATTTTAAAGATATGATTATCAAGTCACCAAAAATGATAAAGAATGTTTATTTGTATATCTTTCTTCTGCAAAAGACTCATTTGGTAAAATAGTAGCAGCCTTAGATTAATGTGCACTTAAATACACACACTATGAATAAACAGTATAAGTTTTGAGTGCAATCAGATGTAGGTTTGTCTGCTTCAAAATCTTTTGGTCCAGGCTGAAAATTAAGTCTGAAATATGAGGTGAAGGAAAACTAGGATAATTATAACAAATGCAACAAATCTTTGAGATGTAGTTATGCTGCAATAATCTAGGAGCTTTTAATGCCCTGCACCAACTGGCTGTTCAAAGAAAGCAAGAAAAACCCTTGTTAAAAATAATATTGTCTAAACTTGTGACATGCTTGTAGCCAGTGTTTACATGCCATTACATCAATTTTCCTTTTGCCTTTGTTACTAAAAAGAGGATTAGAAGTATGTTTTGAAAGCTCTAAAGGAAGCCTTGTTCATGATAATTATTCACAACTCTGAAACACTGATAGCTGTGTAACACATCTTTGAGGCTTAGCATCAATTTTTGTTAGCATACTTGAATGGTCTCAAACACTGTATTTTCCAGCAAGTTAGGAGCTTTGATGGTACTGCTAGCATGACCTGATGATTCTTATAGCATGCTCAAGTCATAGCTAAGAAGATTGCCAGATTTATTCCCAGTCGAAAGCCTGTAAGCCTATACTAAATGTCTCCTGAATTAGATGAGTCAGTTTAAGTTATTTACGAATTACAGAAATGATTCAAGCATACTTTATATTTAGTTTCTCAACACTGTCCATAGAGTGCATAACTCATTGTTGCAGTGTTTTCTTTGTAACAATGCTTAGTGAATGAATGAATAAAGAATAAATTAATTGAAGATTTATGTAGCATAGAAAACACACCTGATCTTTGTTACAAAGAACTCATAAATGTATAATTGAAAAGCTGTGTATTTTTTATTGTTTTGTGTCATTGTTTACAAATAAAGTGTTCTTACAGGTTATTTGAAAATTTTCAGTTTCAAAGAGCTTCAGTTTTAATGCATTTTATTTAAATATATTTAATTTACATAGTATGTATGTACTTATTTATTTTTCTCACTATAGGAATGTCACAAACATGTGAAAAGTAGTCCTGTTCCATCTAGAGAGCAACTTTTTGGTCCAATAGAGGTATTATCTGAAGTTTTATTACTACTGAATTTAAATGAACATCATACAGAAGATTTTATATCATAATGTTTCAATTATGCATTTTGTTTCAAGTATATTTATAGTCTTAAAATTTAACATAGGTGATAAAAAAGTACCCAGTCTGAATTGCATGGGAAACACACAGACCAGAATGTACAAGGTGTCATCAACTATCGACCAATTTTGGTGGTCATTTGGTGATTAGTGAGAAGTCAGTTTGGTATTATCTCAATAAAATTTAATAAATAAATAGTTGCAGGGATGCAAAAATTATTTACAGCAGAAAACTGTCTTAATTGCTTAAACTGTTGTTAGTAGAAGCCTGACTGTTGATTGTTATGATTGTTGCTGCAACTGTATTTTCAGTTTGTTGCTGTTTCCATCCCTCTAAACAATAACAGTTTTTTCGTGGACTGTTTGCCGTTTTCTTTCTATCATAAATTTCATGACAGAGATGTAAAACTTCATTTGCCATTTTTTTTCAACTGTTGTAAATGTCTCAAAGTATGAATCACATGGATTCTATCATAGAAGTTGATTTAGTATTATAAAGCATTCAGATAAACCTTTTGAGATAATTTTGTTAGTTCAATTTCTTCATTTTCTTACTGCATTTCTGTCTTGTCCTACTTTGATGAACTCCCCAATGGTTAGTTCACTAGCCTCTTTATCTAACAAGAACTCCTAATCTTCGCATTCTGAGGAAAGAGTTTTAGCAAATTTAGTAACATTTTCCCGAATTGTTTGCTGAATGGTCTGATTGTTGAAATACTCAAATTTATTTTAAAATTCTTTGACAGCATTTTACAAATACCCTTCATGTACTTAAAGGAGTAGCCATGTTTTTAATGTACTTCAGTATGTTTTAGTGTTTCCAGAGATCGCACAACAAAAGCTTAAAGTCTGAATCAGCTCCTACAAATGGCAAATGTAATACGTAGGCAGTTTGCCTTAAATGCAGCAATGAAACCTTGGGTATTGAGCTGAAAAGGCTGAATCAACAGTGCTGTATTTGGGGACAAGAAAACAATATCGACATCAGGATTTAAATCTGCTAAATGTCAAGGGTGACCAGCTGCATTATACATGTGTAATAAAATTTTGAAAGAAACTTCTTTGTGTAGGGCAATATTCCCATGTTGTAGAATGAAACAGTTTCAAAACCAATCTGCAAATGGAGATTGTGTCATCCATGTTTTGTCATTGAAGCAAAAATAAAGTTTCAGTGTGTGTGTTAACATTTTTAAGTGACCTTGAGTTTTTCAAGTAATAAATTAGGAATGGCTTTAATACAGATTTACATTTTGGGGCTTACTGACTGCAAGAAAGATGGTTTAATAAATACCTTATCTGTCACTAATTTTGTTCATTCTGTCATTTAATTTGTTTTCTAAATCAAAATTCTTCTCTTTTTCTTGACAAACATGCAGATTTTATTTCATTGCTATTGATCATTAACCCGCGAGAAAGCGCGTGGGGTGTATCATACCCCAACCCTGCATAAAAGTGGAATATTCCTAACTTGTGAAACTGAAATTCTGTGTTGCTTTCAGTAGCTGAGTTTCTAGTTGTGATTGAATTTCAGAACCACTTTTTCTTTGCCTGTGTGTTTCAGAAAAAGATTTATCGGTATTTTGTTGGAACTGGGGTATGACACACCCCACGCGCCTGTCCATGTAAGTGTTTTTCTGACTGAATATTTAGTTCAGAAATTTATTTCTGGAGTGTAACAGTAAATATTTCTACTCGCAAGTGATTTTAAAGTACTTGACATTAAATTCTTAAAAATTTCTAACTGCATTATGGTAAAAATAATGAGTCCCTATGAACTGGAGATGCAACGCATGTGAGATTTATTAGAAATATTTGAAAAGCGAGGAAGATTGCATTTTGGAAACTGAAGATGAAACTAAGAATATTTTCTACAATGTTTTGGTTTCGAAAAGGATAAAACATTAATTCCTGATGTTCCTAAAAAAGGAAAAACTGTTCTTATGCTTTCAGCATTATATAACGATCATACTATAGATGATACTATTGGAGAAAATAAAACATCAGGAATTATATGTTTTAATAATATGACTAAAGGAGCAGTAGATATGGGGGATGAAATGTCAGCCAATTATTCAATTGCCAGAATAACAAGGAGGTGGCTAATTCTAATTTTTCTTTCCTGCACTGAATGTTGCTGTAATAAATGCTTGAATTATATTACATTCAACAACCAGAAACAGAAGTTTGTTTTTGAAGGACTTAGCATTACAATTAATGAAAAAAAGTATTGAACAAAGAATCAGAGATTAATGCTTTTCCAAGAAATTGACGTACTTCAAGCAAAACAAAAGCAAAAGTTTCGACGAAGAATTAAAACGAATACATGAAATTCGAAACAACTAAGTATGAAAGATGTGATAAATTTTTTGCCCTCGCTCCAAGGACAGAAGAACGTGAATGAAATGTTTAAAATGCGAAAACATTTTGTGCCAAGAACACATTTAATGTATTTTGTTCAAAGTGTGAAGAAATAAAATATGCATGGTGTATTAGAGATGCAATAAAACTTAGAGGCATGATGTTTATTTTTTTTATTATTTTCATTTATCTTAATTTTAACTCTGAAATTATTATTCACTTATTATTCACTTATTTATAATACACAAGAACAAAAAAAAAAGTTTTAAAACTAAATAATACTATTTTTATTGTATTTTAAATATTGAGGTATGTGATACCCCACATGCCCACTCTAGAAACTTTTCTTGGTGCGACTTCCACCGGGTTAAAAAGAAAAGAAAATTCTCTCTGTCCTCATCAATAACTTCTTTTCATCCTTATTGAAAAAAGAGGGAGTTTATTAGTTTAAAGTTTGAAGTTCATGATCTTTCCTTCTCAGAGATTGATTATTTTACTTGAATGCTGTTACTATTGACTGAAGCTTTTCATTTGTTTACAATAAAGGTTTTATTTTATTTTTTTTTTTTCACTGTAAAGAACTGGTATAAAAATACCACAAGAATTCATTTGGTATACCAGTTTTCTGTGAACTGCATAGATTTCGGTAAATTTGAAATGCTCAGCAAATTTGTTTCGCCATCTCAAAAAGTTTTCTGGATGAATTTTGTACAATGATAAATATAGTGATTTAGTGAGTAAATAAAGATTAGCTATGGGAGAAAAATCAATTTCCCCTTTCTGACTTTAGAGTTTTATTCTTTAACATTAAATTTTAATTGTAGTAATTTTTTCATGTTCTGGTTAAATTTATCGAATCTTGAAAGATCCTACCCTAGGTTTTAATTTTTTTTCAATTTTTTAATATTTGTTATCTGTGTGGCTTAGCATAAACTAATACAGCATTAAAATTTTACATTAAAAAACATCATACTGGTGGAAGTTTGGTACACAGGGAATGTTAAACACCGTTCTGACTCCAAAAAGATTAATATTTATTTACATTTTTTGGAAATAGAATTACAGACAGAAAATTAGTCATTTAATATTTATTTACATTTTTTGGAAATAGAATTACACAGACAGAAAATTAGTCATTGTTCTTTTTCTACTTGAATTTTTCTATTTTTGACTCAATGGGAACATGTTTTCATCCCTTTTGATGTTGATTCCTAAATAGTTTCTGATTTCTCCTAAATCTTTTGCTTCGAAGAATTCATTGAGAGATTTGATTAGCCTTTTAACTTTTTCTTCACTTTTGCATGATGTAAGGATATTGTCAATGTAGACAATAATCATTATTGTGTCATTTCCATCTTTCTTTAGAAATAAGCATGGGTCTGCCGTACTTTGCGAAAAGTTACAATGAAGAATAAAGATAGCAAATTCGGCTTACCTTTTGTGCACTCAGTAGCAGCAGTTGAGTCTTCGAAACTTTATTGATGATGATATGAGGGATTTATCCATAAATAATACAATGCAGATTTAAACACAAATAACATATTTATTGAACTTCAACTAAAATAATATAAGCGATAGATACATTATACTGTTAATAGAAGCACATACAGAAACTTAAGAAAAACTAAAGAATAAGAGAATCATGGGATAAATTAATATCACGTGATTAACATAGTTGTTGTGTTTGACGCCCGTGTGGCTTGGAATTTCTAGGGTTGCCAGAAGTGAGTTAGAAAAAAATTTATTTATTTATTCTCAAATTTCTGATTAATGTACAACAATTATATAGATGAGTACGTGTGAAATATTTGCTAAGTCCTTGTGCACGAAATTTTTTTTTCCCCCCATGGCTGGTTGTTGGAGTGTGTTTTAAGTTTTGCATGTGACTTTGCAATTTTTGTATAAAATCTGAATGCGTAACAGTGGGGACTTAACTTAAAAATTCTCCAGGCAAACAGATTGGTGAACCGTAGACAAGTTCAGCAGAACAATGCGAATCCTCTTTAATGGCGGGTGCTTCAAATGCCAAGAAGAATCAAAGGTAGAACATCAGTCAAAGAATTTGGGGTTTGCAGGTGGGATTTTAGGCTGTTTTTTCCAGCTTCGATGTTGGCATTCGATTAAACCATTAGATTGTGGATGGTAAGCCGTGGTGCTGTTCGCCTTGAAGCCTAGGTATTTGCTCGAGGATCTGAAGTGTTAGCAGTCGAATTGCTGACCTTGGTAGAAGTTTCTGGGTTTTGTGCGTTTCAGAGTCGGCAAAAATTTCAATAAGCCTCTTTTTAATAGCCGAGTATTTGCCGTTGTCTGGTGGTTTGGTGAGAATACCAGAGATTTATGACAATGTCCCTGTTTCAATAGAACTGACTACATAATCATATTTTGTTTGATCAGCTTAATTCCAGCATTGCAGAATTGGGCTTCAATCTGAAGAAACCATATTTTGGGATCAGGTTTCCAAAAAGGAAACCTGATTTTGATGCTGACCTTGGCGACAGTCGCAGATGTTGCATTAGTTTCGGTTTGCTTACTTTCATCTCCTTCAGCCATAGTAGAATTAGCCTTAA